TTGGATGTTGAATGTTATTTTTGAAGTTGACAAGAAGGATGCAATTAGCATATTCAAGGCTCAAGAAAATTAATTGCTATTTGGAGATATTCGACTCAAACTGTGTCTTATACGTGTTAAACCGTTTGGTTTCCCATGACTACGCATTTTATACTGGTCCTAATGTTTTCAATGGCCTTCTGCAATGCACAAAGGAAAAGAGTCACGTAATCAAGAGATATTTGTGTAACAAGCGACAAAATGCAGTACTTCCGCTTTCTGATTTCCCGTATCGTTCCAATTGCCATCAACTTTGAGACGATTTGGCGATCCTAGCGATCTTTTAAAACACAAAATTAAGAAGTAAGTCAGTTTTTGCTGACATGGTTCGTCAAGCGGTCACTTGGCCTTCTTTTCATGTAATCTTCCCGATCTCTCGAGCATTGTTTTGGACGATCTGAGGTGATTCGGATAATCATACGGAAGGCGTGTTTGGTTAATAAATGAAACCTTTGGACTAGAATGGGTTTTTTTATTTTAGAGCTGTAGACTGACACATGCTCTAAGATGGGGACTTAAATTATGGGTACAGAACTAATTCCAAAAATAGGCAGAATGTTATGCTGTTTTGGGTTTCTCGTGGAAAAAATATTTTCTCTAACAGTCACATAGGGCTCAGAACAAATTATTACAAAGTTGTCTCGTATGATTTTTCATAACTAAGCAGAGCAGGCCTTATTCAAAATGTACAACCCTAGACGTGCTCTTTCTTTCAGAAACCTATTTTTTTTTAATTACAACCTGTTATTGATGGTGTAAGTTTCAAAGTCACGCTCTTGAATAACAATTAAGGAGTGAAGAGCGGTTCTCTCGTGGATCCGAGTCACTGATTTTCAACTATTCTTCAACAAACGAAGATCTTCAAGTAGTAAAACCTTTTGAGCTTTAGCGCTGAGTCAAATAGGGATAACATTTATTCTAGTTTAAACTAATAAATAAAGCTGATTTCAATTTTTTTTAACCGGAATAGAAAGACATTCGCTCGAAGACCATTTCGAAAAATTTCGATCAAATTGCTGTTCCGATATAGAGTTTGTATTTTTAGTTTGAATTTTTTTGTTTGCAACCGGCCAAATAATTTCCCGATTACGGTGTTGATGTTGTTCCCAAAACAAATTTAAGATGCATCAGCGAGGAATTGTCATTCGGCATTATCTGCTCCTGATGTGAGTCAAATTAAATGAAAACAAGCGTTTTGTTGACTGAAACTTGAACGTCGATGACGCCACAAAATAAATGTAGATTCCCCCGTTTATTTGTTTCGCTGACTTCACCAGAACAGTTGTTTTAGCGAAGCGAGGTTTAATGATTTACAAAGTATCACTTAATAACTCGAAGGATTTCAAATGGATGTTTTTCCTGCTCATAAAATCAGCAGCTTAAGTTCCAAAAGCCCGCCGTGGCTTTTGAATAATCTATTGAATGTGGCTAAAACTTGATGCAGTTATTGTTGTGATAGCCAGTTCTACGTGCGCAAAAAAAGGATTGATCAAACAGGCGCAAAAGAACAGGTGAACTGCCGAATAACTAAGAAAACACTTTGATCTCAAATTCGACTGAAGAAAAACAACCGCTAAACACGTAAGATTAACTTAAAGAAAATATATCATTACGTATTTGCTGTTAAAACTCTGAAGTATTCCTAATGTGACATAGCGTAAGTATCCAATAGATTTACTGAAAAATAATTCATCCATGGACTTATTGAGTGACTGCCCAGGGGGGTTTACGTGATTAATTTAGTCACAAAAATAACGATGACTGTTGATGGGGTATTTTGAATGCGTCATAACAAACACAAGCACGAGTTGTAGTTACCACCTAGCTAGGATATAAAACACGTTGTCAGTCATGCCCCGTTTAGATCAGAGTGAGAAACTAAGCTTGAGCTGAATATAACGCGCTTTCTTAAGATGGTATCTCGAGGTAAGATTATTTCTTATTATATATATTCTAAGATTATTATAGCTCCCAACAAAAATATATTCAAAATCACCTTTTGTATGGCTTCATAATATTAAATGAATAGCTTTATTGTCTATAATATAAGCCATTTAAAGTATTTTTTGTAACGAGTTCGAGTCCGTAGAAGGAAAATTTTTTAAATTTTTTTATAAAGCTAAACCTAAACCTAAAGCTTCCTTTAGATGTTTTCTTTTTTCAACGCTAAATATCTAATTCATTGCGTGCTCCTAGTCTTCGAATAAAGCGCTTCAGCCGAAATGTTCCCGTTTTTTTTTCCCTCAAAGATTTCCTTAAAAATAGAGATTAGTCGGTATTTATCGCCTGACGGGGGGAGGGGGGGAGGATGAAGGATTTTTTGGGGGGGATCACATGGTTTTCAGGAGAAACGAACAGAGTGTGAAGGGGGTCTGCGGAAAATTGACTTCCAATCAGATGCCAATGAGAGAAGATCACAAAAATATTACAGAGCCTCGTGGGACCTACAACCAAAGACCTGTGACCCCCCCTCCCCCTCCCAGGCAAAAAGTAATAACAGGTTCCTCACCTTTAGTCCTTATTTATCTTATCTGAAGATATCAAGAAACCCTGATTTCATTAATTTTTTTTCAGGCCACAGAAAATTAAAGGAAAAGAAAATAAACGAAGAAGACCGTCAAAACTCCTGCCACACAACAAAAGATCTTATGTCTGCCTTCCATATTTTTGACGCTCAGAATAAAGGCTACATCGAGTCACGTGAATTAAGAGAAGCACTTGGACTTACAGGTGCTGGTATCCCTGACGACGAGCTTAAGAAAATGTTACAAGAAACAGGTCTTCTGACAGACAGAAAGATAACCTTTGCAGGTAAATTTTTATGCCGACGATTCATGTAACAACAGCCGCGACAACAACGAAAATAACATAACAATGATAACAAACCTAACACAAAGACAAAGCAAGAAAAATAAAAGTGAATGAGGAAATGGTCATTATTTATCGTCTGGGGGGAGGGGAGGGGGTATAATTTTCGTTGTGGCTCGATTAAAGTTACCTGATCCCCGCATTATGCATTAGGTTCTGTAACATTCTTATGATCACACCTTGTTGGCAGTCAGTGACTGGCAGTCAATTTCATACAGTGCCCCCTTAATACTTTTTGTTTTTGAGGACAGACCTTCCCTCCGCTCT